CTTGGTATGTGGCTTTGGCCGTGCTCGTGTGCTTCTCCCTGTTCGTGCAGATGGCCGAGGGGACTTCGCTTCTTGGATGCTTCAAGTAAAGTGAGTTTAACTGAAGTCCTGTTTGCAGTCAGCAAGCGCCGCCAGGTATGGCATTGTGCCCTTCATGAATCGTAAGCAGCTCGCAGTCGTCTCTGCACTCGTGGGAGCTGGCGGAAACCTCGGTGCCGTGATCGCGGGCTTCTGCTTCTACAAGCCCATCCAGGATACTTGGAAGAATTGTCGGCCAGGGTTTGGAAAGGTGATTTCAAGATTTTTTGACCTGTCTTGCTGCGCCAGGATGCCCTGACCCCATTCAAAGTACACGCTGGTTACGTCCTGTTCTGGGCCCTTCTGAGCCCCTGCTACTACTGGTCCGAGTACGGAGGGATGTTCGCGGGCCCTGCAACAGATTACGACAAGAGCAAGGGCCAGAGCAGCGAATCCGAAGGGTCCACAGAGTCAGAGGCCACAAGTGATCGGTGCTAGGCGACCCTGCCACCCTGGCATTCAAGATGTCGCGCTAATGAGTTGAGAGGCTGCCTATGCATGGAGTGCAAGGTTGGCTCCGCGTTTTGAGATATTTTCAGAACTGGCTGCGTGCCATACGTTCTTCCTGTCATTGGCCACCTTCGGCGTTCCAAGCGCCGTAGGTTGTCATTCCATGCACCCAAGTGCACATGTCCAGCAAGCGACGGATGCTGAATTAATTAAATGCAATTTCTGCTTAACGCCCAGCATAGAGTGCGGGCGGTTCAGCCTGTAAGCAAGAACAGAACAAGCTGGCTTTTGCGAGCAAAGACAGACAAGAGCACGAAGACGGAATGCAGGTGCTGTTCATTCCAAAGATTGCCCAGCTATTCCAGTCGCAAGGGGGCAACCGCTTACCCATTTTTAGTGACATGTGTGCCGACAGAATTCAGGACTGGATAGTTTCATTGGAAGCGGCTAAACACTTCTCAGCACGACGGAGTGCTTTTCCGGGTACTGAAGCCTCCCACTCCAACCTCAATGTAGACCCAAGTGATGGTTAGAAAATTGCCAAGGGGCGGCCGCGGCAAAGTCATGTGGCTGGACCCCGAAGACTCCACAGTGCCCAGGGGCGCCGCCCTGCGAAGGTCTGGTGTAGTGAGATTCCGGATTGCTTGACTGAGTGCATGTAGGAATCCGTAGCAGTATGCATACGTACTCTATTTTTTTTGATGCCCGAAAAGTTGGGGCTTCGAGCTTCTCTTTTGTTGCTGTTCGGGCGCTTTTGCTGTTGCGCGTCCGCGTCGTGAAGCTGCGGCAAGCCAGCAATGGAGTTGACCGCCCCCTGCGCCGGCGCCCACACCCACAGGAAAAAGATGCTTCCTCATAGCAACAACAAAGACATGAAACCACCTGGCTGCATCCTGCCAGAGTCCGCTAGACTCGACATTTCTTCTGCCAGCGACAGAGAAGATTGCCTCCCACGCGCCAACCCTATTTTGTCAGATTCCGATATTGATCTGGAGGTTGCATCGCACATGGTTGAGTTTGGCACATCCCTTTTTGTCACAGATTGGAAGGAGCATGGAGGGGCCTTCTTGTCCATACCGTAAGGCGTGCAGTGCGAAATTGGCTGTTTCCCCTACATTCTTGTCCAGTTCTGAGGCTAATCTTCGTTGTCCTCTCTCCAAATAGTCTTCCCGCCGCTGTCAAAACAAAACTTGGGTGCTGACTGCCCAATCTCAGGACAAACCTATGCAACACGGAGGATGTGCGTGTGAAGCCATTGCCCTTCATGCTCTCATTTCATGCGCTTGTTTGTTAGCCCGGTGGGTGGGGGGCAGCCTGACAGGAATGATGCAAACATCACCAGCTTGGCTGAGATTCTGCAACCCTTTGCGGAGGACTGTCGCGGTTGACAGCTTGACTGGCGCTTGCTTTAGTAATTAAACAAATCTGGGAACTGTGCTCTTAATTTGTAAAAGACACCATGTCCCTTGCTTGTTGTTTACTTGCATGATCTATCATTGCAGGAGATGGGGCGAGGATAAGTTGTTTGGCTTTGGAGGGGTCGTCTCAGCCGTGAAAAGATTCAATGTGAAGGCTCTCTCACTTACGCAGCCCAAAGTCAGAGCTCGTCAGTGCTTCAGTCTTGTTCCTACCAAGAGCAGATGTAAGCAATGCGACCAAGCCAGAACACTGAGCTAAGCATCGCAAGTTCAATCGGAATCACTAAGCCATGTGTCCTATACGACGGATCATCCAAATTTCTGCAATCCGCTATCGGGGCTGTTTGGCTAGGATGTGATGGGAGCCCCCATCTCGGAGCGCACCCCAGCGATGGCCTGCATGTCGGGCTCCTGGAACCAACCCTGACCTGGATGTTGGTTTGCGGGGTTGGTTTGGGATGCAATGTGTCTGCGCGTGAAGGGATGTGCTGTTTGTTTTCCTGGACAAATCCCACAATCGTTGCAGCTTGAAAAAGATGATGCCACCTGCTATGGTCCTGGATGGCAGAGCGAGTCAAGCAGGGCCCATAACCATAACAGACTCAATGATAGTCTCATGAAGCAAGGTTTAACTCCCTGCAGCCAAGAAGTTTCTCTGCACCATCAACTCCAGGAGATAGAGCTACAACATGAGGAGGAATCCAGAAGTGTCGACTGTTGGGCTAAGCGGTGAGCCCAAGTGCAGTCCAAGAGCCCTGGGCAAGCAAGCTTTCATAGACGACATTTCTTGTAAGCATACAACTTGCAGCACAGCTATCATTCTTTGGTTGGCCCTGCAGAAAGGTCAATGACCGATGCAGAGGAGGCCATCTACGAGCATCCAACTGCTTCGGACACGATCATCGAGGTCCCGCAGAAAGCCGCTAGGGACGATACACCATGCGAGATACAAGAAACCATTGCGCAAAAGGCTGGTCTTGTAATTGCTTCAAGAGGCTTCGTGCGGTTAAGTCTGAGACCTAAGGCTCCAGTCAGGATGAATTTGTACGCAACGCAAGCATTAGGCTTGCATAGCTTGACACCCTCCTGAAGACCCGTCTTCAGCGTGAGGAGTTCTACGGAAATTGGGCTCGAAGCGTGCTGAGAGTCGTCCTGCCGGCTTGATTAGGTACGTAAATGATGGACCAAGCATGGCAAAATCATGAAGACTTCCCGCCTTCGAATGCTTGGGCTGCGTATGCCTTGGGGTGCAAAGTTGCTACTTGTAGTTTGTTCGGTTTGTAGGGCTTCGGAGCACGCCACAAACCGGGCTGACAGGTGCACTTCATGGGCCCTGGTGAGTGCAAGGTGGCTGCTTCAGGTCATGCTGCTCTGTGCAGCTGGAGGCATTCAGTTCCAGCTTGTCTAGAAAATTATAACAAACGTGTGTTTAGAAGGGGGGTAATACCATACAACAGCAGTGACGCCTCCTTGTTTCTTGGGCGGGTGAGGGCGAAAGAGGCCTCCACCGAATGCTTAAATTGCCCTACACAAGTCTCCCGGTAGCGTTTCGATTGGATCTTGGTTGGAGCTCTGGTGAAGCTACGACTGCAGGAATGCCGCATTCGCTCACTTAGGTGGCTCTCACCACCAAGGAGGATTCACCCATCAGCCGGCTGGAAGAAAGCTACGTGCCTTTCCTGCAAGAAGTGTGTTGCAACGGAGCTTGATTCCAGTCGAGGGTTTGCATCATTCAGCAAGAGTGCCCCTGTGTTCCTTAAAGTTCCAGGCAACACATCTAGCGACCTGATGCTGATAGGGCCCGGAATGTGCACATACATATTCACAGAGCATTCCCAGCCTCGTTGCATCTATCTGACGCTGTTTCTACTTCCCGGATAGGTTCCGTACCACATACGAGAGACGCTTAGGAAATTCCCACAACCCACTTAGGACGCCTGACTCCTGTAAAGAAAGCTGTCCCAATCCAGCAGCGCTCACAGCCATGAGAAGTTCATGATATTCTGTGCTAAGGAGATCAATGCAGGGCCAAATACGTGCTCCGGGCATGTTTTCGATTTGGAAGAGCAGCATGTATTCAAGGGTACTGCCTGGCAGGATCATCCTCATGAGGCAGGACACCTTTGACTATTGGCCAGGGACTCAGGGCCATCATGTAGCGCTTCAGATCCTGCTTCAGTCAACCACAATGTGCAGCTGGTGAGGACCGTTTGTCTAGCTGCGCCCAATCAGGTGTGACGAGCCAGAGGATGAGAGTGAGGCCTTTTGGCTTCAGCCACAGCCCCAGAAGCTGCTGCTGCTGCTGCTGCAACATGCAGCCAACAAAGTGTGTAGAGCCAGAGGCCGACACAATTCCCAAAATCATCATGCCTTGCCTTGTTGGTCAGCTATAGGTCCTATAGGTTTGTTGGGATGAGATTACTTGGGATTCCTGGGCATGGATTCGCTTTGGGGTGGTTGCGAGGCTGGAGCCAGACTTAGCCTCACATTGCATTGCATGCTGCACGAAATCATGTTGCATCAGACTGCATGCATGCAATCCACTGAGGGCCTTCCTGCTCCGCGCCGGGCCGAACTGGACGCTGGGCGAAGTCATTGACGGAGACCTGAGCCTCTTGATGAGCAGAGGCTCGGAAATGGTGGCAAGAGGCATACAGGCATAGAGACTAAGACTAAGAGCTTTTGAATGACCAGAATGCGCATGGTCAGTTGAGGGTTGCTGCTGCGGCCGCTGCCGCTGCTGCATCTAGAACACGAGCTCCTGACTTGGCTGAGAACAGGCGATGGCCCTCCTCCGCCTTCGGGCACAGACGTGGTCGCAGTGGCAGGGCCCTCAGAGAACCATGGAGGAGAAGGGGCATGTAGGATGTAGAGGTGTCCCTAGAGACCTGGTACAACAAGGATTCTGCTGCGACATTCAGGGACGATACGGTTGCTTTACCTCTACTTTCGCATTCGTGTAATTCTCCTTTCGGAACTGAAGGTTGGGAATCTTTCAGGGGAAGCTGCAATGTCAATTGTTTGGCCGCTAGCCATCGAATAGGGCAATGGAATGAGAATGCTGGCATTGGCTTGGAGCCAGTGGTGGTAAGTAAGAAGTCCCGTTAAGCTGAAATTTGCCACTCTTGCCATATCTTGCAGGTGGCACTGTCTTTGCAAGCCTGCGGCAAGATGACAGACCACCACAAAGAGCTGGGCCCCAAGATGCACTTAGGATCTTTGCCACTGTTGCTCCTGCGGAGCTCACAGCTGATGGGCTCTTGGAGCGCAGACAAAGGGTCTTAGTGCAGAAATGGCAAAGCAGTGCTCAACACAGTCGTGGATTCCATGGCAGGGGCGTGCAGATCAGTCGTTCAGTGCGAGAGATAGGGTAGCAACATGAACTTTCCGCTGAGAAAAACTGGCCTCGCAATGCGTTTGACCATGATGACTCTAGTTGTTTGCTTCTAGGCTTACCTTTTTACTTGCATTTCCCTGTTGTGAATGTTGTGATTGGTAGCAAGTATAGCGAGCACAGATGTGAAGCCAATGCTGAGTGCTGGTGCCAGGTGGACCGCCTACACGGCTGGCGTGGATGCCCAGCTGGAGATGCCCATCCTACGATTTGTGCTGCTCTGAGTTTTGAGTCGAGCCCGCGGTGGGCTTGCAGCGGAATCTGCAAATGCGTGATGGAAAAAAGGTCAGACGAGAACAGATCCGGTGTTGATGTTTGTACAGTGTCCATCGACTTCAGGACATTCGGCTTCCCTCAGGCCATCTGCTCATACAGTCTACAATCAAATACTAATACAAGGTTTTATTTGGGTTGACAGCAAAAGACCATCTCTGTCCGCTGAGGAATATCTTCCATATTACAGCGACGAGGTGGACCTGCCACAGGGCACAACGTTTGTGAAGCACTTCTCAGTGCAAGATGGCGCCTGGGCTGCAGTGAAATTAAAGCGGCGGTGAGGTTGCAAGGCAATCGTTGGATCATCAGGGATGGAAGAAATTGCCATGTATATTTTTTCGTCCATGCTTGTCACTGCTACTCGATTTCACCGCGAGTACAGCACCATGAATACAGCACTACAACTAGTGGGTGGTTGTGGCGGCGGCGGCGGCG